GCACTAGTGTGGGTGCATGACTCCTATCTCACAGGCTGGGGAGGGGGCTGTTGCATGAGCGCTGTCTAAGGTCTCCTAGAGCTTTGCATGTATTAACTCTTTTTTTTTTTTTTAAAGACTTTATTAGCAAGAGAGAGTGCAAGAGTGCACAAGCAGGGGGGTGGGGCAGAGGGAGAAGAAGAAGCCGACTCCCCGCTGAGCAGGGAGCCCGATGCGGAACTTGATCCCAGGACCCGGGGATCATGACCCCAGCTGAAGGCAGTGGCTTAACCGACTGAGCCACACAGGCGTCCCTGTATTAACTCTCTTAATCTTTCAATCTTGTGAAGTGCCCAGTAAACTCGGTACTGTTTATCATTACCATTTGACAAATGAAGAAACTGAAGTTCGAAAAGCTTAAAGACTTGCCTAAGGACACACTGGATTCAAAGTGATAGGGAGTGGTCCTCTCCCTTAGCCACTCTGCTTACAATACCTGTGATAGAGAGTAACTAGTTGGGGGCGGGGGAGGTGGAGCCACTTGAAGAGAACACAACCTGAGCCAGAACTGACAGTGTGTGAATGTACTTGGTATCTTATGACGAGAAAGGGCAGAGCCTAGCTGAGAATAGCTTTCTGGGTCTAAGGAGAGAATGGAGGACAGTGTGCCTGGAGCAGAGTGGGCCAAGGAGAGAGGAGCAGGGAGGGAGTAAGGGAACAGAGAGTGAGAAGGAGGTGGATGAACATCTGGCGGGGCCCTGGGGGCTGTGCTAAGGGCCGAGATTTTATTCCTAGAGGAGTGGAAAGCCACTGGAGAAATGTTAATGGTAGTGATGTGATCTGCTGGAGGACTTAAAAGAATCACTTTGGCAGCCGTGTGGAAGAGATTGTAGACCTGCTGGTAGATGGTCTTCTTCCATAGTCCATCAGAAAGGTGCTGGTGGGAGGCTCTACAGCAGTGGCTTAGATAATGGAGAGAAGTGGACAGAGATTTTAGAGTAGAGCCAAGCAGACATGCTGGTGGCTTGGATGTGATGAGGGAAGGGGGGGAGTCAGAGATGACATTTGGGTTTTTAGTTTGAGTAATCAAGGAGATGAATAGTCATTTACTGAAGAGAGGGAAAGTTTTGCTGGGTAGGAACAGGGCAGGGTGGAAAGTGGAGTTCTCTTGGACAATGCTTATTCCTTTTGAGATGTATATAAGACGTCCAGATGGCAATGTCTAGTAGGCAGTTGGATATATGAGTCTAGACAGAGCTCGGGAGCCATCTGGGCTAGAGACGGAAATGTGGGAGTTGTTGGCATGTAGAAATTGGGGAGCATGGGAGAAGGGAGACACCCAGGGTACTGCAAAGGTGGAATACTTTGCTTACAACACACACGTTCTGTTGTTGGACTCAGTTCTCAAAATGGGAATAGTAGCACCAAAGTGACTGAATACATTCCTTCCTGTTTAGGGTCTGGTTTCAGGCAGAGAGCCTTCATTCTACATTTGCCTGTGGAGGTTCTGCACATGTGCTAGTGTATACATGTGCTTAAACCCAGTCCTTCCTAGTATGCTGGCCTGGGGTCTCCAAAGTACATTGATGGCCTAGATGTGGGTGCTGGGCTACTTGCTAATTGGAAAATTAGAGTGACCTGAATCCTGAAAAAGATTTAGGGCTTACACACAATAAAATCCATTCTTTCAAACTACTTCAGAGTCCAGGGAGCCAGGTACAATTTAAAAACTTTTCATGATTTTGAAGTATATAAGGGTCTAAGTTGTATGTTTACAGTGTATTTTATAAACTTTTTAAAAAATTCAGTAGTAACTAATTTTTCTAAACTCTATTTCATTTTTTGGTTTATATCAATCTTTACCTCCTTGCATTTGGGCAAGTTTTATATGTTAATTTGTAGATAGGCTGATTATAAACTTATGCTTTAAAAATATTCAGAAACATACATACTGTCTCTCACAAAAATTTCATTTTCTCTGTTGCCACAACATTCCACATTCTGTTCCTGTTGCTAAGGCCTCTGGAATGTCCCAGTGCAGAAAAAGGATATAGAACTCTTTTTTTTTTTTTTCTCCTGAAGACATTTTATTTAAATTATTTTGTATCTTTAGCTTACTTCCAAATATGGATATCTGGAAGTAAAGAATTTAGAAAGCTAAAATTAAAGTTGCTTTCGATTTTCATAACTGGAACTCGATTTCTGAGGGTAGCATGAATTGGATTTAAGTGTACCATGTTTCTTTCCACGGGGCTACACGCACACACACACACACGCGCGCGCGCGTACACACACAAAATCATATGCACCCAGGAGTGTGATGTGCTGGTGAGATATTAAGAACTGAGCTCACAGAGCACACCTGAGTTTAAGTCCTGGTTATGCTTTCTTGGTGGGTGATAGTAGACAAGTTCATGTCTCTGTCGGTAAAATGAGGATTTTATTGTAGGATAAATCATATAAAAAGTCCTTAGCACAGGCCCTGGTACATAGCAATCTCTCAGTAAAGACCAACTGTTTATCCTCATTATTGTCATCATTGATTGCAAATGATCTTAAGTTATTGAGGAAATTGAAGTTTTTACAGAAGTATAGATTCCTGGTCCCTTACAGAATGACCCCTACCTTCTTATTTTTACTAGTGTTTCTAAATCTCACAAAAGGAAGAAAGGAATCACAGCAAAAAAGAACAGTTTTCTATATAAAGGTTATTGTGGCTAGTTGAATTGCTATTACTTGAAAGGATTGGTACAGTTCTTAATTTTTTAAAGTTGTTTTATTTGTAAAGGGGTTGGGGGCTAGTCCCCAGAAGTATTTGGTGTCTGGCAAAGTGATATATTTTAAACAGCATTGCTTAACATTGAGTGCTGTGGGAAACCACACAAAACCAGCACATTGCAGTCGCCTAAATCTAAAGTGAGACAATTTAATGCTGTTTTAACTACCATTTAATTAATGAAACTAATTGAGTCAATTTCATTAATGAAACTGCTGATTTGATATTTATAGACATTTCATACTTCACAGCTGTAAATTATGAATGCTATGTTCTGTAATTCAGATTTTCTTTCTTAATTGGTCTTGTATTGGAGGCATTTAGCACAGGGGGTTTATGGAACTTAAAGGAAACTATATTTTATTTTTAAAATGAAATATGTCAAGAAATTGTGGCCATGGAAAGTGGCTTATTACATGTTGATCATTGCATGGATATAACCTTTCCTTTTCTCCCACACGTACTCTTTTTAACTTAATGTGGGCATGCTTTCAAGGAAAATAGCACATTGTTTGGTTCTTATTTTTCGTTAAATTATTAAGCTTAGTCACAGAAGTCAGTAGTCTACTAGAAGCTTCTTGCATTATCTAATCAGTTTATCAAAGGTGTTCAGCTCTGACATACCAACTTAATGGAGGTGGAAACTGGAAGGAATTTCTAGAAATCACGTTCCTCTGATCTTCAAGGGACCAGATCCAAGCCATTGTTGTGAGTCAGAATGGAATCCCAGCTACTGACGTAGACAAAGTACTTCATCTCTTTGTGAATCAGTTTCCTCCTTTTTAGAGTGGGGCTGTAATGGTATCTACCTTGGTAGTTGTGAGAAAAGAATGAGATCATAGCACCTAGAAACTGCTCAGTGCTGCCACTGCATCCCAGAATCTTGTTGGTCCCTGGTATATTTCATATTTTATAGCTAGCGATCTGTGCAATTCAGTGTAATAGAAACTGTTTAAGAAAATCTGAACTATATCCATGTGTAGATATTAGATTAGTAATTTGATGTTTTTAGACTATGATCACTTTACATCTCCTCAGGGCATTTTCTTTTTCCTGTAAAACTACCATGATCACCCAAGCTGGAGAAAGTATGAAATTAAATCTTACAGGAGAGAAAACAGATGCCAATTAGTTTTGGATCTTCTTTCCCCTTTAAACTTGGTATTTGGTCTACTAAACTATTTGTCTAATTGAAATGTGCTAATTATCCATTCATTGCAGATATTCTAAATAGTGTACAATACTTAAAATCAGCAAATATCTTTTTTTTTTTAAGTAATCTCTATGCCCAGTGTGGGGCTTGTACTTAACAACCCAGAGATCAAGAATCCCATGCTCTATTGACTAAGCCAGCCAGATGCCCCTAAAATCACCAATTTTGAAATATTTAAGACATTAGATTCTGGATCTGAAACATTAGCACTGTTCCCTACCTGGATTATTGTTAATAAATTCATAGTTAGGACTTTTTAGTTAACCACATATTACCAAATATCAAGTCACTTTTGGTTTTTGTATATATGCAGATAGTTTAGTTTTACATTTGTGTTTTAATTAACTTCTTAACCGTAAAAACTCCAACTTGTATCTTGCCCTAGTCTAGTAACTGAACTGAGATTAATGTGTGAAATGCTGTGTTTGTACCAAAGTTCCTTGTGTTCAGGAGCATCAGTATGTGAGCAAAAGGACTAGAGGTTCTTGTGACCTGAAAAAAGAGTATAAAAATAATTTTCTTTGTATTACATGCTGACCAAACCGGCAGTTTTACTCTTCAGTGAAACCTCTGCTTCCTTTCTTAACTGTTCCATAGAACTCAGAGACCAGATGGCTGGAATAGAATGCATAGTTAAACAAATCAAACCATTAGATGATACAGCTTTGTGAATTGCTAAGCATTTTATATGGGTGCAGATTCTTACCCATAACCCTTGGTGGAGTTCATCTAAAGTTGCTTTATTGTGTGAGTGTATTCATTGTTTGCATTTTAATAGATTTGTCTGTTTCACCTCATACTGATGATTTTTGATGCCTTTTATTTTAACTCTCTGAACAGTGTTTCTGTAAGCCTGATTTGATTTCTCTTAATAGTCATGGTGCCACATCAGTTACTTTTACATGTTACTGGAGTAACATTTGAACTGGTGTACCTCATCTTCAGGCAGCTTCTTTAGAAAGTATTGCTAGCCTAAATGGTTTCATATTCATCAGAACCAGATGAGTGAGTGATGCTCTTTCTTTGTTGCAGACATGCCAATATTTGGTCTGTGTCCAGCCCATGATGATTTCTACTTGGTGGTGTGTAACGACTGTAATCAGGTTGTCAAACCGCAGGCATTTCAATCACATTACGGTAAGTGCTCAACCATTTAAAAATCATTATTAGAGGGTAAAAGGTAAAGCGGGATTAAACTGAAGGCCAGTGACAGCATGGATAGGATATAATATCCCTCCCTCTGTCAGGTTTTCTAATTTCATTGAATGGGTTAATGCCTATCAGATGTTGGGTATTTTCTGAATTTTATTAAAAGTGATGTGTGTATTCTAATTTACTGAAATTAGACAAGGAGAAATGTATTTTATAAAATCTCTTTTGAAATAATTGAGTCAGTATAGTGAAAGGTTTATTTCCTTCTAGACCTCATGGTTGTGAATTTAGTGGATGGTAAAATCATACATACACAGTGTGGATACATGTCTTTCTTAAAGGAAATGTGATTTTGAAACTTCTAAGTTCAGTAGTTCTAAATCCAGCTTGACATCATGTTTAATTTGTGAGTATGATGAAGCTATCACATCTTCTCCATTAAAATGCACATGTACTTAGAAATGAAGCAGTGTGTCTTTAGGGATTTCATGAACCCCTGAGCCATCCCTGGGCTTCTAGGCTCCACGCCTGCTGTCTGGGTGTTGAATCATGGAAGAATCCAAATAAAATGGCTTTGCTTTGTTATAATGCCACCTAAAGACAGTTTTATACCCAGTTGCGTTCAATGACAGCTCAAAAGTATTTGAGTCTACACCTTGTTTCAGGCATGATGATGTATAGTATGATCCTTATTTACCTCCTTGGAGTTTGCAATCTAGCTTAAGAGACAGGCAAAACTAACTAGAAATACTTTTTAAACAACTGTGAGTTGTTGCCTCATTGTCCTCAGTACTACAGATGGAAGCTTGAGACAGAGTAACAACGGGATCCTTCTATAGATAGTTTGTGAGGCTTCTGAGGAGGTAACCCTGGTGACCCGAGCTATAAGTGATGGGATGGAGCCACCCATGTGGCAATCCGGAGTAAGAGCATTCTTATACAGAGGGAAGAGCTGGTGTACAGTTGACCACCATAGGTGGAGGGCAGTTAGTGAAGGGAAGTAGAGACTAGAGAGGTCTGCCCTTATGGGCAGGGACCCTGATCGTGCACAGCCTGGAAGGCCAGAGTAAGCAGCAGCTTGGGGGCATTGTAGGGCTTATGTAAGAAAGTAACACAGGCCCACCTCACTGGTGAATTTGCTGAGAATAAATTGTAGGAGAAGGGTAGAGGCAGGGATGAGTTCAAAGGCAAGACATGATAACAGACTAAGGCTAAGATGCGGCACTAGAGTTGGGGAGACAGCATAGCTTTGAGGCACATTTTAAAGCTAAAACTTAGAAGGCTTGCTGTTGGGACAACAGTTGTTTTAAGAGTCACGTCATCATATCAGCATCCCACCATGTTTTCCTGAAGGAATAGATTTTTTTCATGTAACCAGAAAAAGGTTTTTTGAGTTTCTGATTCTCAGTGAAGCCCTGGGGTAGGCTCTAGAGTGAGTACAAAGGTGAACAAAATACTGTCTTCCTGATTAAGAGTCATAGAGGTTAGTATTGGAAAAGGCAGTTAATCAATTGCCAAGTATTTTGGAGTTCAGGATTTTTTAAGCCAAACTAGACTGGATTTAAATTTAAACTTGAAAGAACCATAAGCTGTTCGTTTGCCCTGAGAAAGTTTTCCATCCTCAACTTCCTTTGTTACAGTGTCAGAATAGTAATAGCAACCTCATAGGTTCTCAGGGACCATAAATGAAACAACATGGTAAAGCGCCTCATACAATGCCTGACACATAATAGGCATGAGAGAGAGAGAGAAAAGTACAGCGTGGATACAGGAGGGTTTGTGTCTAACGTCAAAAAATAGTCCAGGGTCTTAAGAATAAGGAGGAACACAAATTGCTTCTTGATGAAAAGGCTTCTTAGAGAAAATTGCCTTCAGGTTAGGCAGTTCTGAAGAGTAGAATGGATCTGTTGTCCCATGTGCAAATGTTTTTCTTCAGTTATTAGGTATGTAATACATGTCCATTGTGGAAGATGCAAAAAATACTTTTTATAAATCACTTACAATCCCATAAAATGGGAAGTGTTTTGATGGGGATAGATAGGGCTACCATATATAACTTCACAGTTTGTGCGCTGAACAGCCATGTTTGGTGGCCCTAGGTTGCCAGTAGCGATGATATGAGCAAGCACAGAGGCAGGAAATTCCATGCTGTCTGGGATGGACTGCATGGAGTCTCCATTGGCCAGGGCTGATGTTCCCACACGTGGATGGGCAGTGTGCCAAGACAGGCTGGGGCTAGCTGTCAGAGCCTCGGTGCCCATTAGACGCCCCTGGCCTTGATGTGTCAGTGGGGATGGGCTCCAAGTTTCTTAGCCCCAGAGTGGTGACTTAGTGGTCCTCCAGAGAGGATTGGGGGTGGGGGGGCAGACTGAATCAAAAGGACCAAAAACGGCAGTGTGAAAACAGCTGCAGCTTAAGGCAAGGCCCACTAAAAAGGTGTTACCTCTTCCAGGACTCCCTTAGGCAGAAAGGGGCCCTTTTGGTCCCCTCTTCCAGAAGCCCTTCACACAGTTGTTCCAGCGCATCTTATGGAGATGATTTTCTTTCTCTCACTCTCTCTTTAAGAATGCCAGTGTACTGGGGACAAGGTGAGGGAGTCCCATAAAATCACATTTTTACCCTTTTTCTCTACCAGGCCCTAGTCCACCCAGTATCTTCTAATAAGATACTTGTAGAAGGAGAAAGGAATGGTCACTTCAAATATGTAAATGAGAAGATGTGAATGCAAGATTCACATACTCAAATGCCTTCTGTGGCTATGCAGGGGCTGGGCTGGGACTGATAAAGCCACTGGGTGGGGGTGGGGGGTGGGCTTGGTCCCTCTAGTGGCAAAGGAAATACTAAAGCTGTAAGAGAGAAGAGTCCCTGGCAGGAAGTTGGGGCCCAAGTGTTCTGAGAGGTTTCCGGCTGGGAAATGTTGAAGGACCTCCCTCTGTGAGGCAGCACCAAGGAGAAGGCTGATGGCACACAGGAGGTTTGGACATGTGTAGATGTGAGGGGTTGGGTGCGACTGCATGAAGTGGAGGGAGGCACCATGTAATGACCCTGGAGAGATTTGGGACCCACACACCACTCACCTGGAGGGAAGGAGGGGTGGGCAGGGTCTCCAGTGCCAAGAAACATTCCCGGTGCTGCCAATGTCTCTTCTATCCTTGGGGATAGGGGTTATAACAGGAAAAGTTTGGTTTTGGTTTTGGTTTTTTTGTTTGATGTTTTTTTGGAACCCATGTGTTTTTTTGTTGTAATTCCCCAAGGCCCATTCTTATGTGTTAACACCAAAAAGAGATTTAAATTCAAAATCCTTCCCAGTGGCCATTGTAGTTTGTTTATTAGGTATTAGGAAGAATCCGTACCTGCCAATAGAGGGATTCTCTTTTCTTATCTTTGTGCATGAAATTGGTGAAAATGTGTGGGCAGTCTTCTGTGAATTAATGTATTACTGATGATCATCTGTGACTTTTATGAACAAGTGAGCAGTTGCTGCAAAATCCAACAGGCAGTTCCTTTAAAACCACTGCTGCCAGGGCAGAGAAGGAAGCCACAATAGCAACAAGGCTTGTAGATCGGTTCTTGGTGGTGGTAATGTTACTGTGATTTGGTGAGCAGCTTATTACCAAAAGTAGTGAGAGATAATATACTTTTTTTGCTAGCCGAGCTGCTTTTTTGGGAGCTAACGATTAACCAGGATTTCCATGTGAGCAGTGGTGTTGATGGTAGTGTCATTTTGGCATTCCCAGTTTCTCATTGGTCTGTTTGCTTTCATAGTATAGATTGCTTTTTTTCTTGGAAACTGCGTAGTAATATCATACTTTCTTGATGTTGTTTTAATGTTTTGAACTAGTCCAGGATACTTCATATTTTTCCTTTAGTTACTTGGTATTTTTGAGAGCAAGATGTTCCTTACTGTTAATTTCAGATTTGAAAGTATAATTTGAATCATTGGATCCCAAACCTGCTGTGCATCTGAATCAGGAGCTTTCTAAATGGGCAGCTTCCCAAGGACCATTCCGACCGACTAGATGGGAATCTCTGGGATAGGACCTAGCAGTCTACATTCTCAACCACTCCGGAGATGGATTCTGACCCCCAGGCTGGCCGGGATGCCCTGGGATCACAGCAGATCCCTCTACTCTGTCAGGGTTGTTGCTTTGTGTTCCTGGTGCCTGGCACAGTGACTGACGTAGATTGGCACTCAGCAATTTGTTGAGTCTAGCAAGGATGGCACGAAAGGAGGCCCTTGTTTTTTTAAACTGATTTTTAACTTTTTTTTATTACATGCTGGAGATGCCCTGTTCATTGCCTCTAAAACTTTGAGTACGGAGGAGGGCTGAGATGGTGCCGTTCCTTAGGGCCAGAAGCACCCTTCTTTTGAGGTTGTTGACCAAGGTGGGAACCTCAGTTATCTAGTAATAAATGTGTTGGTCCTAAATTGGCTACTGAATAGCATAAAATGTGTAGTCCTATTTACATATGTTGTCTATGGATCTGAACAGGTTGGGTTCGCTGGTGATTTGTGGGGTGTCTTTGGGGTTTTGTTTTGGAAGAGCTTCCCAAGTGATTCTGACACGCTGTGTGCGTGTGCTGGTCTTTGCTGCTTCTCTTTGAGTTTGCTTACGAAGAATACCTTAATTCCTCTCAACCTGTGTTTTGTGCAGACGTGAGGTGATCTTACCTAGGTTAAATAAGTGAATGCTGGTTGTTCAGCTTGGACAGGTGCCACAGTTAGAATCTCTAATAAATTGAAACCCTGCTTGAAAGTCAGCTGTTAAAGTATTTTGCCCCAGGTTAGTTAAGTTGACCCATTTGTTCACCTTTTGGCTCAGCCCTGCGTCCCTGAGCAAGGCCTCATGGTCACATGTGCCTCTGCCACCTTTCCCCGATTTTAATCAATTGGGTTCTCTATTTATGATGTGCTTACATAATTCCACTTAATATTTTTCTTTAAATCACACCACTTCTATTTAAATAAATCCTTTACCTAAATA